AATTCACCCATACTATTAGACCCATACTACATCCAAGTAACAACCAGTATTACACTGTTATTACACTTTAATTACACTGTTATTACACAATCATCCACCCCTATTACACCCATATTACACCCATATTACACCCGCATTATCCCCATGTTACACTGTTATTTGTTCCACATTGCACCCATGTAACACCAATGTTACACAGTTATTACACCGTAATTTCACTGTTATTACAACCATTGTACACACGGACACAGCCTTGGTAAGTGACTATATCCATAAACTATTTAAGGGTTAAATAAGATGTGTTTCTGTAGTTTTACTATTGTTTTGGTACAGTTTGTTTGCAGTGTAGTACAGCTACTCTTTGAAATGCAGGTTTTTTAGGAATGTTTCCAGTCCTAATGATTCAAAATGCGTCTGTAAATGCAAAATATACGGGATTAATGGATAATGTTTGGCACAGACGACACTAACACCCGCTTAACCAGCAGGCTGCACATCTGGCAGCGGGACAACTGAGGACAACCGCCGGAGAAAGATGCTGAACGCATCATGGACCACAGAGGGAACCGGTGGGTGGAGGTGGGAGGTAAAGCATGGAAGCTCCCATGTAGGACACACACACACACACACACACGCAAACACACAGACAGAAGTCGACGCATCGAGAGGCTAACCAGGACTGAATATTGTATGAGGCGTTCTCATGGGCTGCTGCAGAGCGTGCAAACAGAGAGAGAGAGAGAGAGAGAGAGAGAGAGAGAGAGAGAGAGAGAGAGAGAGAGAGAGAGAGAGAGACTTGTGCACACACACCATACATACACACTCACACATAAAGAGAGAGAGAGAGAAAGAGACAGAGTGACACACTTGAAAACACAAACACATGTACGCACACAAACAGGGCCAGTGGAGCTTGAGCTGATGTTGCCCCGAGCTGCTCAATGCCCTGACACACACACACACACACACACACACACACACACACACACACACACACACACACACACACACACACACACACACACACACACACACACACACACACACACACACACACACACACACACACACACACACACACACACACACACACACACACACACACACACACACACTTAAGAGCCATCTGCAGCTGGAGATACAGCCTACAGAAAGGCTTTACTGCTGACACTCTGAGACAGACAGAAAGAGAGGGAGAGAGAAAAGGGTAAAATGGTCGTGACCGAATCAGGATATTAGGAGGAAGGAGGAGGAGGAAGAGAGAGAAAGGGAGACAGGAAGTGACAGCGGGGAGGAAGAAACGAGGACTTTGCTTCCTCAGTCTTTCCTTCTGCCCACTCAAATCCAAAACTGCCTCACCAACACTTTACCAACATTTCACACCTAATTGGACTTTCTCCGTTACAAACCTCAAGCCTCTTTTCAAAAAGATAGTCCTATAGACGACATGTCCAATAGGACCGTTAGTCCAATAACAGTCTCACCTAATGTGTATCCTAAGGGAAACCTATGTATGCTTCATGTGTGAATGAAGGCTCTAATTGTAGTGGCGATGCTGTTAACATTTCTCCAATAAGTGTCAACCAGTAAATTCAGCCACAACACTCTACTGTATTTGTCATTGCAAAGAACTTTCCCCTGGTGTAGGGACCACATTTAGACCCTAATGTTCTGAAATGTCTAAAGCTTTTGTTCCATAAGTCTCAGAAAAGATGAAAAAAACACAACAAAAACACGGTTCCTTGGTTCCTCAAAAGGTTCCCAGGTTTCTGTAAAAGTGGCGATGGCAGGGATCTATTAGCTGCATGTGAAACGTCTCACATTTCACCAGCTAGTGATTGATTTAGATGTTTTTATGGATAGTTTCAGACAACTTGGAAGAGAAGGATGCCTTGAAGCTGCAGTTTGAGGTCAGAGGAGCCTCTCGAGGGTTTAAGAGATGAATCAAGCAATCTCTGAAGCCTCTGGGCTTCTTCCAAAAACATCTTTGATAAAAAAAACTGTCTGGAAAAGGTGAAATACAGCCAATCATTCGGTGTCAAAGTCAACCATTCCTGGAACACTGGTAGGCACCGCTCTGTTTATAAATCAGAAACTGGCAGAGAGAAATTGTTTAAAATCTAAAGTGTTCCCTTGTTGAGCATTCCTGGGGACTAACTCACATTATTAGTTCATTTGACCCTGACTTTAGATGTGGGAATGATGCCTTTGTTCCAAAATAATGAGGCCAATTGGACAATATCTTCCAATAAGAAATCCCTAGTAGTTCAAAATCATGCATCTGTATTTCTAACAGTCATATTGATGTGGTGGTGACTCAGTCTTTTCCCGTCCTAACCCCCTCTCAGAAACTGACATTTTTCTGCTTTGCCATGTGTGTTTATTTGTTGAAATGCGGCGTTAACCCGACCTTTCGACATGACGATAATGTGTTTACCAATATGTGGCGCTGACTGCATGTTGACGGTGTTTGTGGTTGACCGATTTCAAACAGTGTCAAAAAAACAAGTGAGGAAAACATTGGAGCTTTAAGTCGCCGCTCCATATGAAGCCTAAGTGCTGCAGTGCAGTGTAACGGCTCGCTGAATCATACCATCTCGTGTTCAATTCATGAGAGGGCCATTATGTATAATAGGGTCAGCAAGCCATGTGAATGTGCTGCGTGTTCGCCTGACGAGCTGCACATATTCCCCACAGGGAGCAAAGACGTCAGGAAATGAATGTATTACCAAAACATAAGAAGCAAAGTAAACGATTGCCCTCGCACCTTCTCTCCTGACCTCATCACTGACCTCTCTGATACTAATATGCATATGAAAACGCTGCTTTTCCATAAAATGTTATCGTGAAAACACTTATTTTTTTATATTAAAAACTCGGTTAGGCATGTAGGAAAATAAAACACTATTGACCCATGTAACACTATTAATACAGCCATATTAGACCCCGAAAACACCCATGTAACAACCAATATTACACTGTTATTACACTTTAATTACACTGTTATTACACAATCATCCACCCAAATTATCCCTATATTACACTGTTATTTGACCCAAATTGCACCCATGTAAGACCAGTATTACACTGTTATTACACTTTAATTACACTGTTATTACACAATCATCCACCCCTATTAGACCCACATGATCCCTATATTACAGTGTTATTTGACCCACACTGCACCCATGTAACACCAGTATTACAGTGTTATTACAACCATTTTACACATGGACACAGCCTTGGTAAATTACTGTATCTGTCAACCATGTAAGGGTTAAATAAGATGTGTTTCTGTAGTTTTAATATTGTTTTGGTACAGTTGTTTGCGGTGTAGTACAGCTACTCTCTCTCTCTCTCTCTCTCATGTAGGTTTTTCAGGAATGTTTCCAGTCCTAATGATTCAAAATGCGTCTGTAAATGCAAAATATACGGGATTAATGGATAATGTTTGGCACAGACGACACTAACACCCGCTTAACCAGCAGGCTGCACATGTAGGTATATCAAATCCAGGTGAAAATGAACTGCTTTTTACACAAATCTGGGTATTTTTCGGGTAGAAATCAATGATAACAAATACAGAAGTAATCAACAGCTAAACAAGAGGGATGGAGTTGGATCATCCACTCTCCTTTTAACAGACTGATTGCAATGAACTGGAATAGCCGTGATAGACTGGGAGTAGACCTAATGAAGTCTGAGGAGGGTGGGATTAGATTAGTTTAAGTGAAAAATAAACCCTAAGAACAGTTACTTAAAACGGCAGATGTTCCAACTTTGATGCACCAAAGGACAAACCTGAAATGTTTCAATCGTACTCCTGTTGTGTCGTTTTCCCCCCCCCTCACTTTGGTGTTAGCGGTCAAATTTGACACGGTCCTGTTTTAACTGCTATTACATTAACACACAAAATCATTAATCATCACCAAATTTAATTTAACAACCCTTTCAACTGTAAATATTGTATCAGACTACTGGTATAATGACAAAACTGCAGTAAATATACAAAGAATAGACACTGAACATGTATTGTGTGTGCCAGGTGTGATCCATGTGGGGGGATGGGCACATAAGAGCGGGGAAATGTATCAAATTGTTCTGTGTGTGTGTGTGTGTGTGTGCCAGGTGTGATCCATGTGGGGGGATGGGCACATAAGGGGGGAAAACACATATAGAGTATGTGTGTGTGTGTGTGTGTGTGTGTGTGTGTGCGTGTGTGTGTGTGTGTATGTGTATGGTAGTGTATGTGGTGTGGTGTGTGTGTGTGTGTGTGTGTGTTGACTAAATCATCCAAAATTCAATGAAAGTGGTGATCAGCAATTGTATATGTTCAAATGTCTACTGTGAAGGATATCATAAAGCCTTAATGCAATTGAATGTAAAACAAAAAAGTTATGATTGATGAAAGTAGTACGATTTGACAGGAGGGTTAAGTGAAAAATAAACTCTTAGAACCAACAAACACTAGGAACCGTTACTAAAACGCAGATTTTCCAACAGAAAACAACCATTTATGACTGAAAATGTTTCCATAGTGAGTCAGCAAAGTGGGCTATCCTACTCAAAGACTGTTTTATTGTCAAATGGATGATATATTTGGGGAAATTCAAGTAATTCCCGCCCGGTGCACTTTGAAATAATCTATATTATATGATCATGTGTTGTGAGCCATGAGTTTCATCTTGTAGTTTATTTAAAGAGACTATGAATGTGCACATGTCTGTCTGCAGCGTGTTATTGAGCATAGGGTCTTGTAACATGTGATTGTAAAAGGTCCAAAGGTATAGTGCTGTGTAAACTAAAAAGAAGGGTATGAAACCTGTGAGACTCTGTTATTCTTTAGACAGACACATGTACTCTTGGCGGACTTGACGAAAGTATTCTGGCTCTTGTACAACAATATAATAATTCCTTCAATCAGCAGTGTGTCTGTGTGTATGTCCTGAGTGTCTAAGGTTTGGGATCCACGACACTCCCCTTCCCCCTCCACGCTTTACCTCGATGATATCGGCGTTGGTCCGGCTCTCGTGCGGCTCGTTGTACTCGGTGTATTTGAGCAGAACTTTGTCCATGTCGGTGCTGGCGTACTGGAACAGCTTGTTGGAGTGGTTGAAGATGATGAGGGCGATCTCGCAGTCGCACAGCACGCTCAGCTCGTACGCCTTCTTCATCAGACCAAACTTCCTCTTGGTGAACGTCACCTGGAGATAAAAAGAGGAGGAAGACATTTTGAGTCAATTTCAAATCGGAAATGATTGCACTGCAAAAGAAATCCATATTTTTGTTAGTCAAAGTTAAATGTTGTATTCTAGTGCAGCAATCGTCCTTTTCCTGTCATGTTTTACAACCGTATATATCTTTCATTTTAAACTGAACTGGGGAATAGAGGAATAACCTCACCCTGTTGACATGTTATCGATTAGTTTTGAAGATATATCTGTATTTAAGTCGCCGTGATGATTGACAATGTAAAATGGACCAGGAACATTCAAAGAACTGCAGATTTCTATGGAAATAACTTGAAATATTTTCGGGGGGGATTTTAGGGTGTATTATGTTGCCAGTTCAAGTCCCGATGAGACCAACAAAATACGTCACGTGTGCAATGGTACTGTGTGTATTCATCAAACTCAATGAAGGGTCATCTTCTTCTCCAGTTGTAAACATGACAAATTAAGGGTTAAAGGTGGGGTAGGTCATTTTGGAGAAACCAGCTCGAGATCGCTAGAATTTGAAAATACACAGCCGGAGAAAATCTGCCACTTCCTTACAGAGCCCCTCCTCCAAGACACACGAACGCACACATGACCAATGAGGGCACGAGATAAGTTTGTGCACAGATGGAAGGCTGACAGGCAGGTAGGCCATCCAGTTATTTTAGCCGGGCCGGCTCAGATGATTGGTCGTGCTTTTTACAGTACTACGGCTTCCACAGATGATATTTTGTTATGGATTTTTTGTCAAAGCACTTAAGATATTCATTGCTATCGGGATGTTAAGAGCATTCCATGGAATATAACAACAAGTGTATCTCGAGCCGGTTTCTCAAACTTACCTACCCCACCTTTAACAGACTGTTTGACATAATGGGAAATACATTTTGACCGTCTGATAAGTATTGCAATAAAGCCTGAGCACAATTAGCTTAGCTTAGCACAAACAGGGGGAAACAGCTAGCGGGGCTCTCTCTCCAAAAGGCTAGAAAACTGCTAACCAACGTCTCCAAAGCTTACTGGTTCCTGTGTTATCCGAAACAAAAATGTAACAGTTCATATCATTTACAGTTTTCTGTTTTTTTTTTCTGCCGGGAGCATTCACTTCCTGAAGTCTTGTCGTCAAATTCACACGTTCAGTCTTGATTTAAGCACGAACCACATTGGCATATCTCCCTTTAGATAGAAATACTCCTTATATGTTCAACTTGTGATAATCCTTGATACGATCTGAGTATTTGTTGCATTTTGACACAAAATCACTGTTTTATTGCCATGTTTTACAGTTTGCAGGGGGGAGTATCTGGGATCCAAACAGGAGTGATTGTATAAAAGTACTGTGTGCTTTAGGAAACAGACTTCTAGACAGAGTGTCTGAACATGCTCTCTTTCAAGTACTCAGTTTGTAGTACACACACACAAACACACACACACACACACACACACACACACACACGCAGCTTTTCTCCCGTCACGCTCATTCCCCTCGCCGTTTTCACACTCTCTTATGCTCTTTTCCATGCTCTCTTTCTATGTCACACACTCTCTCCCGCTCTCTTTTCCACACTCTCCTTCTGTCACACGTTATTTCTCACACACTCACACACACACACACACTTGTCGAAGCCCCCGTCGGTTGAGAACAAGCAGAAGTGGGAGTGTTGCTGAGGCACAGGGTCCCTTGTCGTCTCCATGTTGGCTTTAGAAAGCGCTTCCCGGCGATAACCAACTGGTATTTACCATCCAGGGAGATTTGGCTTTGTTTGGATTAAACACTCAGTATTGCACAAACACAAACACACACACACACATACACAGAGAGGGAAAGGATTAAGAGACGAGGAGAAGGAGAGGCTTCAGGTACAGACTCAATATCTGGTGTTCGATATGGCAGCGATGCAGATAAAGAGCGTGTACACAGATGGGAATCAGGACTGATGTGAAGGTGTAAAGAGCGGTTTGAAAGCATGCTGCTGTTCAGGGCGCGCCCACGGGTGCCATCAACACATTTTCCATTAGGTAAAACACCTGCTGTGACCTCACAGAGTGGGCGGGAGCTGTGGAGCAGCATTCCTGTGTCTGCACTGAAGGGATCCCGGAGCGTTTCTCCCTGTAAATCCACATTTCTGTGAAACGGCCTACATTTTTAGGGTTGTATATTCCTGTCTTCAATTGAAATGAAAATGGTGGTAAAGTCAGAAAATGCAGACAGTCTGCTTTGATTGGAAGTGATATATAGCTGAGACACTAGAACTGAATTCAATTTGAAATCATTTTTGTATTATTATTTATGGGATCGGGAATTTTCTTCTTTTTTTTTTTTTCTTTTTATAAAATATTTTTATTATTTTATTTAATGTTACAAAACAAAAATGACCATGTTCACGTCTTAAAGTCATCCTGAGGCCTTAGTTTTGGTTTAAAATTACACAACATGATGTATGTGTTGCTTCTTTTGGGCTTGTTTTCATAGACCTGGTTGCTTATTTCTCTCAAATCTGGCAACAGAGTGGGCGCAGTGTCTAATAGTAGCAGTAAGCTAACAAGAGGCTACGTTCAGCTGGTGACTCGGGAGTCGGGACAGAGAAAATGTCAGGAGTTTGGAAGTATTATAAATTGAAAAGCGAAGGCAGTGTAACAGCCAGATGCAATGTTTGCAAGGCGGAGGTTCCGCGTGGTGGAAAGAACAGAGCTACGTTCAACACGACCAATCTAATACAAACACCACCAACAACAACACGACGAGTACACAGCGGCCACTCAGGTAACGGCACTGAAACAACCGACACTTTCAGAGACTTTTAAAAGGAAAGAGAAACTGCCCCAGAACAGCCAAGATAGCTGAATTCATCGCGTTGGATGACCAGCCGTTATCTGTGGTGGAGAACGTGGGGTTTAAGGGACAACTTGAATGCTTTTCTCCTTTTTTTTCTCTTAATGCATTGCATAAAGATCGGATCGGGAAAAATCGGTATCGGCCAGATTGTCAAAATCAAATGATCGGAATCGGATCGGGAGCAACAAAAGGTGATCGGGAAATCCCTAGTTATATTCCATGGAATGCTCTTAACATCCCGATAGCAATGAATATCTGAAGTGCTTTGACAAAACATCCATAAAAAAATATCATCTGTGGAAGCCGTAATACTGTAAAAAGTACGACCAATCATTTTAGCCGGCCCGGCTAAAATAACTGGATGGCCTACCTGCCTGTCCAGCCTTCATCTGTGCACTAACTTATCTCGTGCCCTCATTGGTCATGTGGCGCGTTCGTGTGTGTTGGAGGAGGGGCTCTAGTAAGGAAGTGGCAGATTTTTCTCCGTCTGTGTATTTTCAAATTCTCGCAACTCGAGCCTGGTTTCTCCAAAATTACCGTACCCCACCTTTAATGTATGATGTATTTATTTGTCTGTTATTGTATTTATTTGTAATTGTATTTATTCATTTTAATTTATTGTATTTTGTGTTATTATATTTAATTACATTTTATGTATTTGTAATTAAATGTACAATCAATTCTGTTATTGTTTTTTATTTATGTATTTATTTTTATATTTTAATTTGTTATATGTAATGAAATGCTTTTTTTAAATTAAATGTATAATCATTTGTTCATATATTTTTTATGTATTTATGTAATTCATTTATTATGCATTTATTTATTTAGTATTTATTTTTTATTTCATGTAGTATTTATTCTATTTATTATTTGATGTGATTTAATTGTATTATATGTATTTCATTGTATTCCACCAAACAACATGGTATCTGTTCTTATCACTTATATAACAGCGCCGCTGGTTCTGAGGTGTTATTTAACACACGTCCTGTAATAACACAGTTATAGCGCTACGATGCATTATCACTGATATCAAACTGATGAATGCTCTGCTCTGCTTCTGCTTTCTTCAATTGAAATGAATTGAATAAGGAAAAAGGAAGAGATAGAGGGGGGGAGATAAGATAGAGACACGGGGGAGGATGAAAGCGAGACCTTCAATCTCTCACAATCTCACAATCTCACAATCTCTCTCTCCTTTTTCCTCTTCCTCTCTCTCTCTCTCTCTCTCTCTCTTTCCCACATCCTCCTCTCGCGCTCACTCATTGCTTCCTGCTGCCCACAAATCAAATTATAACGGGGTCGTATCCATGAGCAACCGCCTCCCCCCACCCTCTGTTTCCCACCTCATCACCTCACCTCTCACCCTCCCCCCTCCATCTTTATCTCTCTGCCTATCTTCCTCCCCCTCTTCCTCTTCCTCCTCCATCCTCTGAGCAGACGAAGTATGTGGCGACGTTGGAAAGGGAGGAAATGACGGCAGGTGATGAAGAGACGAGCAAACAACAACAACAAGAACATGATGCTGCACGACTTTATATTAGACATTTTATTTAATACGCAATATGGACCCGTGCTATATCCGGACCGCTGTAGTACTTTATATATTAGTATACTACGTTACAGACTTAATAAAAAATCCTACCATGAATATTTTTGTTATTTTATTCATTGAAACTGCTTGTCCTATATTATTATTATGTATAAATAATAATAATAAATACACACAGCAACAACAACAACAACAACAACAACAACAACAAGAAGATGCTGCTGCATGATTTATATCAGGCGTTTTATTTAATATGCAATATGCACCCGTGCTATATCCGGACCGCTGTAGGTGCAATATATTAAAATATATAGTAAATAGAGTATAAAAAAGTCCCGGTACTTTACAGACTTCACAAAAAATCCTCGTTAGGTAGAGTTTAAAAAAAATTATACCATGAATATTTTGTTATTTTAGTGGTTTTTTGGGGGGGCCATAACTTATAATTAAGCAATAGCTCACGACAGGCCGAACAACCCCCTTAGCTGTGATATAATGAGCATATATCACGGCCTGAAGTGAGCTATTGCTTTTATAAAACGGTTACCAAGTGTGGCAATATGAAAGAAAAATACACACTCTACACTAAATAGTTTT